CCAACATTCAAATATACGGCTAGATATTTCAACAATCTAAAAGCATGATATGTAAATCAGACATTTTCTTTTTAATAAATGAGATTTATTTAAACATTCCACTGCTGAAATATTGTTTATTTTGGGGAAATATTCAAAGGATTAGAGGTTATATGAGAATTATGAATTATGCACATGAACATGTTATGGCGAAATATTTTATACGTATTCAATGAATATTCTTGGACACTGCTCTGGAAATCATATTGTTGCTATAATACAAATATGTGAATAGCTTATCTTGGCAGCAGAAGTGTGGACTTAAGTAGAAGCACTAGTGCAATTGGAATGCACTGTACAACAACACATAAGATTTAATTCAGCACAAGGACATTTAAATAATTAAGTGTCATTCCATCGACAAAACAGGCTATCCAAATCCGGATAGGCAGTGAACTCTTGTTAGTGTCGTGAAATCTCGAAGGCATTAGTGATTGACATTGTCTGAGCATTCTTACTTGTCTACCTTAAATGTCAGCGGTCATGAAATACAATCCAACTAATAAAATCTTAATTGCATTAATTGTACGAGTCATTGACATTACCTAAGCATTATTACATGCAACAAGCAGTAGATTATAGTAGTCATCAAACCCGATTATTATAGCATTCTGTTTACAGAGTACTCTTTTTGAACAACCATCTTGGATTCTTGAACTTCTAAAAAACAGTAAACAGTGACTTTGAAGAAAGCAATATAAATTGCCAAAGATGCTAGGTTTCATGCATTAGAAGATAAAAATAAATAAGTGAACATTCAGCAAGCTGGTTTCTAAAGTAATAACAGCTCCTTCCATTACAGCGTGAATCAGTAGACTGGTTAACAAAAGATGCTATGAGTATTTTTACGATTGATGCAAACATTGAAGCAATTTTTAAGATTCTAGTTAAATAATTCATATAGACTATCATTTATAATTTATCTTACCAAGTAGCAAGAGTATAAACTGCAGAAAGGGGAGATGGCATTCACCTTTTTGTCAATAGTTGTGTCGAAGTGACCAATTGCCTCCTCAAACTAAGCACCAGATATGTCTACTTTACTTGACATCTGGATATCAATGCAAGAAATGGTCTGCATGGTAACAGGGATCAAACTATTAACAATAGGCATCCATCTTCCAGAACTATATTAGCTAAATCTTGAAGCAAATCAAATGGAGAAAGAAATGATTCTGCCATACCATCGAGAGATTTCCTAATTGTTTTGGCAATAAAGCTGAGAATTGTACATGCTACTGAACTGATATAATATAAACACTGTAAAAAACTCTAAAATCAAGTTTTACCTAATAAAAACTGACTAGAGAGATGATATTGTCTGAACCATCCCCTGTTCATCTGAAGTTACTGAAAGAAGCACGATTCTGAGATCCAAAAGCCAAGCATGTAATATGAAGATGCTTCCAGTACAAAAGATCCATCAAAAAACTATATGCCTCCAATTATATGTTTACCAGTGATCTCCACAATTACATGTTCCATCCTTAAATAAATGAAAGCGATTGGCATCTCTGACTAATATTTCCCGTTTGACAATCTTTGATATGTGCTTCGTCACAGTGTGGCAATCCCCACAAACACGAAGATTTTTCATTATCTGCAAAGGAGTACCAGGTTTTGTGTTCAACAATGCAAATGCTATGGCAAGCCTTTCACTATGGCCACAAAGCATGTCCATTTTCTCATCTTTCTCAATGTCATGCAAAACAAATTTAATATCAGCAACGTAGCCTTCCTTGGCCATTAATCCAGAAAAAACCTCTAGTAACTTATTGACTTCCTTGTATTGCTCAAAGAACTGATCGCCAGACCCAAAATAGTAAACCCTATTTTGAACCTCCACCCAACTACATCCTGGATCCTTTTTGAGTCCTCTAGCTGTTAAAGATGTACGTATCATCCTCACTTGGTCCCACTTTCCCAAGGAAGCATAAACATTTGAAGCTAAAACGTAATATCCCGGATTGTCCGAGTTCAATTGAATGATGCGTTCTGACACTCTTTCTGCTATTTCGATGTCTCCTATTGTTCTGCAAGCACTAAGTAAAGATCCCCATATACTTGCATCTGGTTGCAATGGCATGGAAAAAATAAACTCTTCTGCTTCAGCTAAGAGGCCAGATCGTGATAGAAGGTCAACTACACAAGCATAGTGTTCAAGCCTAGGATCAATATTGTAGTCTTTCTTCATTCGATTAAATCAAGCCCGCCCTTCTTCCACCATACCAGAATGGCTACATGCATATATGATAGCAACAAACACAATGTGATCAGGAACAACACCAGCTGCCTTCATCTCCTCAAAAGTTCTAAGAGCTTTCCTTCCTTCCCCGTACATTCCATATCCAGAAATCAATGCTGTCCATGTAACTACGTCTCTTTTTTTCATTTTGTCAAATACCAATACTGAATTCTTTAAACAACCAGTGTTAGAATACATTTCAATCAAAGCATTGCCAATTGAAACATTTGATTCATAACCCAACTTGTAAATGCAGCCATGCATCTCCTTCCCTTGTCTTTTAGCAATAAGCAAAGAACACAAAGGCAAGGTACTTAATAATGTAGGTAGATCTGGCATTAGTCCCTCCATTCTCATCCTACTGACCATTCTGAAACCTAGATTACTATCCTTAGAATGACCAGATGCAGCAATAATAGTATTCCATGTTACTATGTCCCGAATTTCCATGTTTTTAAATTGTTTTAGTGAATCCTCCACTGCTCCACATTTGGCATATACATCAACAATTGCATTACCCACAACTTGAGCAAAATCATATCCTTTCTTTATTATATCACAAAGCAGATCCATTGCCCAAACTAAGTTTATCAATTGTGTGCAATTAGATNTTATTATATCACAATGCAGTTCCTTCGCCCATTCTAAGTTTATCAATTGTGTGCAATTAGATAGAAGTGTCACAAAAGTGACAGAATCAGGTTGCAAATTCATCGTCATCCTCCTAAAAAGATCCATTGCTTCATCATAAAGTTCATTCTCAACATAACCGTTCATTAGTGAGTTCCATGATACCGAATCCTTAGTTCTCATGCTCTCAAAAACTCGCCTTGAACCCAATAAATCACCACATTTGGCATACATGTTAATAATAATATTACTAGCTATAGTATCACATTCATATCTGTTGACCCCAAAAATTGAACTCAACAGATACCGGGCCCACTCTTGCCCTGTCAAGTACGGGTCCGACACGTTTNAATTCATCGTCATCCTCCTAAAAAGTTCCATTGCTTCATCATAAAGTCCATTCTCAACATAACCGTTCATTAGTGAGTTCCATGATACCAAATCTTTAGGTCTCATGCTCTCAAAAACTCGCCTTGAACCCAATAAATCACCACATTTGGCATACATGTTAATAATAATATTACTAGCTATAGTATCACATTCATATCCATTCTTAACCATATAGACATGGACATATCTTCCCAACTTTAGGTCCCCAATGTAAGAGCATGCGCGAAGAACAGATGCTATTGTCAACATATCAGGTTCAAATTGACTCACCATTTCCAAAAACAACCTGATAGACTCTCTGTACAAACCAGACTCGGAATACCCACAAATCATGGTATTCCAAGTAACAGTGTCTTTAACAACCATCTCATAAAAAATCCTCCAACACTCTGTTAGCCTATCAACTTTAAAATACATTGAAAGCAACCCATTGCAGACAATCACGTCCTTCTTAATCCCAATCTTTTCCACAAACCCATGAACTATCTGGCCCTCGTCAACCTCCCCTAATCCCCCACATGCTTGTAAAACACTAGAAAATGTAAACAAGTCAGGCACTAAACCCGACATTCTTAATTGATAATATGTTTCCAATGCCTCTTCACAATACCCATTTGAGCTATAACCTGAGATCAGACTATTCCAAGTAACCAGATCTCTCTGAGGCATTTCATTGAACACTTCTTGTGCTTTGGCCAACTCGTTACACCTTGAATACATATCAATCAGGGCATTATTAATATACAAATCGGATTTGAAACCCACTTTCAAAACATGCTTGTGAACCAGATTCCCCATCTCCAAATCCATCAGACTCCCGCACACGTTAATAACAGAAGGAAAAGTATGTTTATCGGGTTCAACCTTGGATTGTCTCATCTGTGTGTAAAACTCTATTGCTTCTGTAAATAACCCATTATGTGTCAGTGCTCTAATAAGTGTATTCCACATATAAACATTGTTCGTGGGTGAATTTACACGAAATATCCATACAGGCGAGTGTGGATCTTTGAACTGGGAGTATTTAGTTATTAATTTGCCTGAGAAAAATACAGATCTTTGTAAACCAAAAGCTACTATAAAGGAATGGATTTTTTGAAGGTCTCTCAGGTTTGTCGTCGAAGCTAATGCTTTTGAGATTGAAGTGTGAAGCTCTTTGCTTCCATGGGTTACGATATTGCATAGGGCTTTCACGGGCAATGGCAAATTTACCATCTGGGTGTTTTTTTTTTTTTCAAAAAAGAGAGTTTAAATAGTAACACATGAACCCGTTGCACCAAACATACTGAAATTTAATATCCACTTTTTTAGGTTTGATGTAAATTAAAAAGTTGATAAAAATTCAATTTTAAATTAATAATTAATTTTAATTATATATTTTGTATAATTTACAATTTTTGAATTATATATTTTATTATTTTTTATCAAAATTTATTAAAAATATAATTTTTAACTAAATAAAAAGGAGCTAAGTATTAGACCCTTCAACTTCTACGTCCATTGTGATGCTTCTTATGATCATATTGCAATTGTTTAATCAAGACATTGTTGCACTCTTGCTTCCAAATTTCAAAGGAGAATCTTGTAGTGTTGAGAAGAATCCACCTTGGGATTGAAAAGAAAAAAAAATGAAAAAAGTCAATTGTATAGTAACGTGAAATTGAGTCTGGAATTCGAACAAAAGAAATTTAGGTTGTGACACGAAGTTAAATATTAGCAAAAAGGCAATATAAAATGAAGGCTTTAAAATGTCGCGTATGAAATAAAATGCAATTGATTAAGTAAGTATATTATAAATGTAAAAATCAACTCACAATTAATATCATAAAGTTCCTGATTTTCGTTTTTTATACTAATATGAGAAATTAAATTCAAAATTAAAAAAAGACAAACATTTAGGAAATCAATCCAACATCTTCAAAGCAAAACAATAATTCTACATTTTTCTTTATAGTCCACCCCGATCAATGTCACAATCTCCTTTTGCATGTCTCATGTGTCAAGGACCACAATTATACTTAGTCTCTTGACCTACCTGCTGCTGCAATATGCCTAACTTAGGGCGCACTTTGTATATATTAGTTTAAGTTGTAATAATTTATTTCAATTGTAAAATAACATTGTTTTTTATAAATGTTTATTATGATTTCTCCTCTTTTAGATGTCTACTTTTATTATTTAGGTTTTTCTTACTTAAGCTATTATAGGGATATAAATTATTCGAAAATTCTTGTCAAGTTTACTAGTGTTTGCCTCCTACACCAACAATTGTAATTTACTGCTTTCATCAATCAATAAACAAACTATTTTCAATGCATCTAAATTCTTTGTTATAAAGCTTTCTTTAAATTGTTTTAAATTGTATTTCGTCCCGAAACAACTGAGAACGACATAAGGTAGTCTGGTGAAGTGGACTACTACCACATAGTGCCCATTCTACGATAAAAAGAAATTTGCCCCGTGAAAGTTAGTATCAGAGTTGTGGCTCACAACCCTTGATAAGAAAATTATGAATCTGAATGCATCACACGTCACAGAGGTGGGTGATCAGAAGAATACTAAACAGCACATAAATATTCTTGAAGGGCAAACTACTAGGTTATACTATGCCATTGAGAGCCTTGAGGAGAAGGTTGAGGTGGCGAAGAAAAAGTTTGTGAATTACACATTCAACTAGATAAAAGTCAAGTGGCTTGCGCAACTATGACTGATGTTGTTGCAATTATTCTCAATTTGTAGGAAGAAATGAAAACATCGAAACTTCAGCTGTGAATACTCCAACATGCAATTGGCAATAGGACAAGCCACATCACAAGAGTATGCACCTAGGCTCATAATCCCGAAATTGTGCACCTATGAAGGGGTGTGCGATATAAAGAAAGTCAAGAGCTTCTTGTTTGACATGGAATAATATTTTCTTGCTGCTAATATTGAAGACAAAGCAAGAAAAGTATCGACAACTACCATGTATTTAGGTAGAAATGCAAAATCATGGCAACGAGCAAAACATGTCGATATCAAGCCAATATAGCCCTGATAGATACTTGGGATCTCCTCAAAGAGGTGATCAGATCACATTTTTTTCTCAAAAAATGCTGAATATTGGGTCGATGAACACTACGGTAGGAGCTCCATCATGGAGTATGTTAAAACCTTTTCAAGGCACATGTTGAATATTCAAGACAAGCCAGAAAAGGATAAACAATACCCTAAAATTCAAAAGTAGCTTGAAATGCATTTTTCATGTAAATTTCAAAAAGAAAAATGTGTGCCTTTTAGCTTAACTATTTTGAAGTTGTTCCTATATTATGAAATAGCCATGATTTCAAAAACCAACCCGATTGGATCCGGCCGATTCATTCGATTGGCTCGGAAACCTGCTAACTTGGACAATGGACCAAGCCATTTGAATCAATTGGACCGAATTACAAGAGACGTGGACAATTGCTCGATTGAAGCACCAAGCTTGTAGGTTACTTTTGATTTAGAAGTCTATATATAAAACAGAAATGAAGGAATAATGTGCGATGCCCAAAAGTCAAGACTTGTCATACGTCAAAAATAATTAGTATAGCACTAAAA